CCCCATGTGGCTGAATGGCAACACAAATTAAGTAGAGTCAAGGTAGCTGGGTGCCAGAGACCGATACTTCAGCTTAAAATTAGTGTGCAAGTACATGTAAATTATTTATAACATTGCTAAGAAAACATTACTGATATTTCAGGAATATGGCCAATTTTGAGGTGGCTGTAGCTCACCCTGTAGCCCCTCTCCAAGTGCCACCACCACCTGCTCCAAGTGCAGCCCCAGCCCAGCCCCCCTGCCAGGAAGAACCCCTGCCAGGAAGTCCCAGCCCACAGTGGCAGCCCGCCCTCACCCCAAGCACCAATCCAAGAGGCACATGTCTCCCATGCCCTCATGGGGTATGTGCAGCAGCAGGAACTGTGCTCACCCATCCCCATGCCCCCCAGATGATCTGCTTGTGGCTCCATCTGGTGCCCTGCCCTGCCCTGCCCCCCAGCTGGACAGTACCTACCCCAGCCCCACTCCCTCCCTCACCTCAGGGGCCTTGGTCTGCCCTCCCCATGCCCCTTCCCTCCCCTCACAACAGACTTACCAGCTGGACGCTGCTCTCCATGCTGCCGAGTTGTGGTCCTGGCCACCTGTGGGCTGTGTGTATGCAAGTGGAATTTATCGGTGACATTATTGGCCGCATCAGCCAAAAAAAGGCAATTGCCGATAACGTCAATTTTCCTTTTATCAGTGCCGATATGATATGGGGCTGATGTACTGGTACACCTTTGCTATTTATCATGTGAATGTTCTAGGACAGTGATTCTCAACCCAGGTGCTATAGTATACTGGGGTGCCATGAGATCTTTTCAAGGATGCACGTGTAATGCGCATTAGCCTAATTTAAGGTGCATTAAGGGCATACGTCTACATATGCATGCCCTTAATGTGCCTTAACAGTGGCAATTTTAACTATTCAAGCCTACATGTGATACCTGCATAAAGCAGGTATCAAATTTATGTATGAATAGCAAAGTTGCATTAGCAAACATGTAGACGCACTAATACACATTAACATGGTGTGTGTCCATTGACTTGGGACAAACTTTAGTCCCAAATTGGTCCACGCACCTGTGTTAATGCGCCTTAGTGGGTGCACTTGTAGACATGTGCCTAAATTGCCTTAATGCACATTAGGCTAATACGCCATTAAGTTTTGGTGCCTGTAAAAGCACATGGAGAAACTTACCCAATGTCACCTACAATTGATCTACAAGATGAACCCAGGTGCTTAAACTGATTCACAAGATAAACCCAGAAATTTCAAATAGGACTGCATAGTGTCAAGAGCATTCAGATCTCTTGCAGTCTTTCTGAGTTCTTTGAAAAATAAAAATTGTTCCTTTATTTTTCTGCAGTCAAAAAAAGTGAAAACGAAGAGCTGGCATTTTCCAAATCCTGCCAAAAGCCTGTTGAAGGGTACCTTAAACTTAAAAATGTTTGGGAATGACTAGTTTAGGATAACTTTTATGAATTGAAGCAGCATAATAAAACATCCCCAACCATTTCAGATGTCCTAGATTATTCTCCGCTGTGAAAAATATAAATCAACCTAGCTAGATACCTTTTCATTGTTTTCAAATAAACATATATAGCTTACTGCTTGTTCTTGGAACGTTGCATACTTTTTATGTAAATGTAATGGTAAAACCTTTGGTTAGTGCCAAATTAAGGTTCCCCTGTAGTACATTGTGCCTTTCCAAGCTTAGCCAATATCAAATGTCTGAAAACCAGGTAAGAAAGAGTTGTAATACACATCCAGACAACCTACACTCTCTGGATTTTACCTACTTCTCATAAAGCCAATGAGAATGATTTGCAGGCATTCCAGCTTTATTCACTATATTAAATACAGCTGTGTTAAACAGTGAGTGGATTTGGTGGAGTAGTGTGGCAAAGCTGAGATTGAGATATGAGGTCCCCTGAGGGATCCTGCCTCTCCAGCAAGATGAGATGAGCCCCTCACCTGACTCTAGTGTGTTTGATCAAAAGGAAGCAATACTTTGAGATTCAATCTTCAGTACCCTATTAGATAAGCTTTGTCAGTAGCATTCTTCTTATGAAGATATTCAGCAGTTAGGTGGGGGATGAGTATGGTCTGTGGGTTTAACTGAGGATAAATATAATTTTGGATGGTGTCATGTACAAAAGAAGTTATAAATGGTAGCGAACAATTGTAAAATTTAGCTGGAGTGGTGTAGGCTTATATGGTGAGCCTGGGGCAGATAGACAACCCCTGTTCAGTATAGTTCAAAAGGTGAAGGGGTAATATATATGGTATGCACATACTAGGACACTACACATGTTAGTTGTGAGTGTGGGGATTAACCAGGCACAAACCACAACAAAAGAAGAAAACGATAAAGAAAAAAATCTCTTCTTTCTTTATAAACAAGACAGAAACAACAACAAGACAAAATAATGATAAAAGAAGGAAGCACTTTAACTGAAGTCTTGTAATAGGGTTTTAGGCTGCTAAGAATGCCTCATCGGTATCTAGGCAGTTGAAATGAACTGAGGATCAGAAAGTACATGCAACCTTGTGTGGGGCACATGGATGGACAGGGCTGCAGCTTGTTCTATGGATACTGCTAAGATAAAAAGTCTCTGATCCAAGAGCTGAGGATGCTTAAACATCCACAGTGAGGATACATAGTAAAAGGAAATTCTGAATTACAAACACTTTCCACTACTAAGCAACTGAATGTACCTTGGAATCTGTTCGACTGCTGGATACAAGATGTGTGCCTATCCCAAGTGATAAACTCTTTTGTTGAATGCCAAAAAATCAATGTGTGGTTCCCCAGAGGATACTCAGTGCCATGTTAGAGCAGGGACTGAGATGATTCAGGGCAAGATCAGAGTCATGGTTTGATCCCTAGACACACACACACAGAAGTGGTAGAATCTGACCAAGTTAAAAAGAGCTGTTCCGAGAGAGGACTTTCTTAAGATCTACTTTCTAGAATTACCCCAAATTTAGAACTACAGTGAGAGAGCCCAAGTTTCAGTGCAATTTAATTGTGTGGATTTCACAGGACTTGGGAACAGGGATCTGTGAACTCAAATATAACTACAGGAAAACTATTACAGCACTATAATGATGGCTAAAATATTAGTTGATACTCAATTCACTTTTACATTTCTCAGGTTTCTTGGCCTTTGGCCTTAAAGAAGCTTCTATATTCTGCTCATCTGCTTCAAGAAAACCCTGTACTTTGCTTGTCCTGACAACCTGACAGGGGAGGATTAGTTTAAATTCTCTTTGCTTGTTTGTTTTTTCCCTCATACAACTGATCCCTGTATCCTTACAATATGAGAGGTGATGAACTGTATGAGTCTTCAGAAACGGTTCATTCTTATGTGTAGTAATGAAAAAATCCATCTTGAAGTCAATACAATGTACCTAGATATTAGCACTAATAACAGGCCATGCTTGATAGAGCAGTCATTTAAGGAAAGTAAGCATTTGGAGAAAGCAAAGCTAGAAGGGAGTAAGGGCACAGATTTGCAATGTTGCTGCTGAGTAAACAGGAGGCAGGTGGTCTTCAGATTTGTCTATAGTCCAGAATAGCTTTAGTTCAGCAACTGATAGCCAGCATTTGGCAGAGCCACACTAGTGACAGGCCCTAACCACAGTTAAGAACATGCAGATTCTTGTACTTCTTACATTAATAGATTTTACCCTGCTTCAATACTTTTCACCTTGGTGAGTAAATGGTGGGAAATTTTTTTCAACCCAGTTAACAGGAACCAAAAGCAATATTGTAAATTAATGCAATTAAAAACATTAAAATCCTTTGTAGTGCAGTAGTTTCCAGTGTAAGGAATATTTAATTACATTCTTAGTGTATTATTGCAGAAAAATAATTTCAGCTCAGAAAATACAGTGGCCTAAATGATGTTTTAGTGCAGATTTGTAATTGGTTTTGTGTGCATGCACATGGCTCAGTGTTCATTGTGATTACTTAAACTCATTGTTTAAAAATAATTAATTGAATCAATCTTTTTCTAACTGCAAGAAAATTCTTTTCATCAAAGGCTGAGGATTAAAATGGAGGTGAGGTGTTAAGAATTCTCTTACACAATAATTTAGGGTAGTAAGTGCAAGATAACAAATTAGCTTCAGAAAATATTAACGTAACACCTGCAAAGCCTATAAAATCAAGGAGGTTTTCTTTGTAAATTTGACATTTCATACATTTGCACTGAGGAAATATGGCACTATAAACAAAAAACATGTTTAAATGTGGTGATTTCAAGTCTGAAATACAAAGACAGTCTGTCCTGAATTCTGTCTAAAATTTCACTCACTTAAACATATTAAATACTCCTTTGTGCCCCATCCCAAGCCTGAGACAATCCTCCAGCATCTTGAAATGCACATCATGTTGGTCTAACATATATCAGCTTACCAGAACTACAATGGGCTGTTACCAGCACCTAAGCATTACTGAATTGTAGCAACGCTTGGTCACATTTTTTTTCTTCAGTTATGCAGAAACCAGATGCCCTGATGTTCTTACCCTTTAAAAATTGTCCTGGCATCTTGTTTCACAAAAATAACAATGTTTTCTCATTCAGATCTCATAAACAAGCTCAGATTCCCCTATGGTCCCCTTGTTGTAAATTCACAGTAACAATACAATTGCTACTACAGGTATTTTAATATTTAAAGTTATTCTTTTTTAACTACTTTCTGCCCTGCATTTTTCATTACCCCTTGTCTTTTGCCCTTCAGAATGAGAGCAGCATGGACCAAAGACTGTATTGATTTGTGCGTTTTGCAATGCACTAAGCATATTAATAACAAGCAGGACTGATCTCAATGAAATTTCATGTAGAAGTTTGTGTTGGAAAAATAGTGTTCCAATGTAGCCCCCATTTCAAATCCATTAAAGAAAAAAGTCTTCCATTTAGTGATCAACATACTCTTCCATGAATAAAATCATATTCCTCCCTTAAAACAAGCTCTATTTAAAGAAGAAATACAAATTACCATTACTCACCCCTCTTATCATTTCTTCCTGTACTTGTTACTTTATCTGAAGGGCAAGGACAACGTCCATCACACTTCACTGAGATCTGTTTTCCTGAGACACATGCTTGATATTCTAGTTTGCACTGTAATAAATGAGAGTTATGATCATTAATGGAAACATCTTTTATAATGTAAATTCCAACTCTTTATTTACCATGGTTATACATGCTTTGAAAAACTACTGTGTAGTATATATTATCTTTGCATTTATATTATGTATTAACAATGGAACCAAGTTGTAAAGTTATGTGATGCCTGAGGTGGTGGTTGTTCTGAGTTCACCTCCGTTATTAAAGCCTTTATGCAATTACACTAATTTAACAATAAGGACATATTCAACTCAGACTATATTAATTTTACTTGCATTATTTATGCTAAAGATCAATAAGAAAGCAAAGATCAGTACTGATGTATAAATAAAGGATCTTTTTAGAGGATTTAAACACTTCATGCATTTCTACTTTTGAACAACGACCTAACCAAAATAAAGCTAGCAAAATCATGGATAATACAATTTTACGTATTCCATGCAGTGACTATTCTAATTAGGGTCTATCTTTTGCAAGATACAAATAAAACGAGTTACATTTTTAGCTCTGATTTGTACAGCATTTAAAAAATATAGACAAGGAACAAACTCAGAGATTAAGAACATCAGCTAACCAAATACTGGACAAAATGAGAAACAACCCACAACCAGAACTAAAAATACTATGAAAATGTTTACTGGACAGGAAAAAATGAAATTTTCATAAACAATCATGATCATTATTGCTCTTTACAAGAAGCTACATTCTTACTCATAATACGTACCTTACTTTACACACATTCAGCCTAAGTACAGACAGTCATACTTTCATAGTTAGTAGGGTCAGAAGGCACCTGAGCAGATCATCAAGTCTGACCCCCTGCCATGGCAGGAAAGAGTACTGGGGTTAAATGACCCCAGCAAAGTGATTGTCAAGCCTTGTCTTAAAGACCCCCGGGTAGGAGCCAGCACCACTTAGCTTGGAAGTTGGTTCCAGATCCTAGCCACCCTGTCAGTGAAGTAGCGCCTCCTGATGTCTAATCTGAATTTACTCTCTGCCAGCTTGTGACTGTTATTTCTAGTCACTCCTGGTAGCATTTGGGGGAACAG